ACAGAACTGAATGACAACAGCGAACAAGAGGGAGAATGTGAGCACTGTGTGCTCAGGCACTGCTGCAGCTGTTCTTGGTGCCGTCAAAATAAAAGTCCTGCCTCGAACACATCGGCCAAACAGAAAAACTTATCGGCCGATGCCGATATTTGAAAAATGCCAGCTATTTTTGAAAAAAAAATGACCACTAATATATACTGTATTATGGTAAAATACAGATGCATTCTCATTCTCAGTTATTTGTTTCTGAATAGTTTTCTCTTTCCCTCTAAGGTTCCATTTTAACACACATCCAGAGTCGAAAGTACTTTGATGAGAGAGAGGCAAGTCATGTAGTCAGGGATATAGCACATGCACTGGACTTTCTGCACAACAAAGGTAAATACTATACTTTTACTCTGTGGCCCAGTGACCACGACCATGACACTGCGAGTGTGTTTACTTAGACTCGTCTTTCCATTTTAACACACATCCAGCGTCGAAAATACTTTGATGAGAGAGAGGCTAGTCATGTGGTCAGGGATATAGCACATGCACTGGACTTTTTGCACAACAAAGGTAAGTACTGTACACTGGTCCACTGACCATGACTCAGCGCGAGTGTGTTTACATAGACTTGTCTCACTATTTCCAACAGGAATCGCTCACCGGGACCTTAAGCCTGAAAATATCCTGTGTGAATATACTGATAAGGTAACATGTGTAGTTTGTCTGGCTACAGAAAATCTCTAGCAGTTGACAAATTTCTACTGTTTAATCATGTCTACCGGTATATCACCCACATCTAGTAGTGTATGCACTGTATGTTTATAGCCAGTCTTAATTGTACTGAGTTTTTTGCTTTTACTCAGGTTTCTCCTGTGAAAATCTGTGATTTTGATCTCGGGAGTGGAGTAAAGCTAAACAGTGCCTGTACCCCAATAACTACCCCTGAGCTCACCACACCGGTATTTGTGCTTCTGGCATCCTAGAACTGTAAAATTGTGGAGTAGCATGTTTTGAGGGATGTGTTTTGTCCTCTAGTGTGGCTCAGCTGAGTACATGGCTCCTGAGGTGGTCGAGGTCTTTACGGACGAGGCTTCGTTCTATGACAAGCGCTGTGACCTCTGGAGCCTCGGAGTGATTCTCTACATCCTGCTCAGCGGGAGTCCTCCCTTCACCGGCCACTGCGGCACCAACTGCGGCTGGGAACGAGGAGAGACATGTCGTGCCTGCCAGGTAAAGCGCACGCTAATTAAAAAATGTAGAGAATTCACTTCATCCACGAAGACAACTTAGCAGTGTTGTCCTCTCCTGTTCAGAACAACCTGTTTGAGAGGATTCAGGAGGGGAAGTATGAATTTAGGCATGGAGTTTGGGCTCAGATCTCAGCCGATGCCAAAGATCTGATCTCGCGGCTGCTGGTGCGAGATGCCACTCTACGGCTGGGTGCTGCCCAGGTCCTGAAGCATCCCTGGGTGCAAGGGGTGAGTCTTTAGCTCTGTTTTTCTTGAAGACTTCTTGATTTCATCTTTAACAGGGATGACCAATATGGGCTGATAACTGATAATAAACAAGCGTTCTTTAGTCAGCAATTTTACTTATTGCATTTTAACCCTTTCAGTGGGAATGACTAGATCAGTGTTTCCCAACCTTTCTTTAGTTGCGGCACCCTTTGGAAATTTTAACAAATTTGTGGCACCCTACAAAATTAATTTTGTCACAATATTTGAATTTCTAACTTCGATATGATACTTTGAAAAGTATAGATATTCGGTACAGCAGGGAAGAACTGCAGAATATAATGTCATACAGATATTTTTAACATTATAAAAAAAAAATTGTCCATGAATGGTGGCAATCGGTAGGCTAATTTCTAATGAAAAGACCAATTTATATGACAGATTTTAATGTAGGCTTTTATTCATATGTAAACATTGTGAGATAGCTACTTATAATGGTAATTAAACAAAGTTTTGCTCACTCAGTGTATTTTTGATTTTACAGCTGGGTAATTTTGTTGCAGTAGCACAAGACAGCTTGATTTAAAACTTTGAATTGAATAAAAAA